GGTTGGTGGAGGAGGGCATTCTGTTAGAAAGGGTGTTACCTGGAACAGGCACCATCACTCAGGTCCAGTGTGGGGACAGTGGAAGGGGTTGTGCCTCTTTGAAGTGCTCCTTCTGTAAATTGTTTTAAAAGGTAATACTGTTGACATAATGATAGTTACAACCAGTTTCCAGATGAAGTATATAAAGTGATCCATTAGTTATGGGAAGAAAATATTAGAATTTTATGTTTACTTTCATCTAAAAATGATGGCCTCACTGTATTAATCAAACCAGTGATAAAATCTAAAATCCATCTTACAAGAAGCATTCTGTATCTCATTATTCATACTTCTATTTACGTTTTTAAAATACAACAAATTTATCATTTTATCTTGACTATTTTAAATGTAACATAATGTAATAAAGTTATAAATAAAGGGATTATATATATTATGTATTAGGGATATGAGTTTAACCTTGCTGGTAGTGACGTGATTAAAAATAATTGTGGTGGTGTACTTTTTAAGATTTAGAGAAGAGGGAATTAGAGAGGACAGTTTGAAAGTAAAGACAGGTCATTGTGTTCTCTGAGTGATTAAAATCAGTGATTAGGGACTTGGATGTAGCTCAGTGGTATGGTGCTGAGACTACAAACATGCGCAATGGCTGGGCACATTTTTTATTTACTTCATGAAAGTTGTTGGATTTTCATTGTATATTCTTCAATAAAAATGTCCAAATTATGAAGATCATATCTTGGAAAGGTTCTTGCCCCAGTATAAGTTACTGTACAATTATGTTATGGTGGTGGTCTAACGTGGCAGAAGGCCAAAGTGGGAGTGCTTACCACTTCCTGCTTCTTCTTCAGCCCTAATGGCAACTCCCCTTCCTGTTTGCATGCACAGAGAATTCCAATCCGTTCCTCACTGGTCATCAGTATCCACCCCATGCGCCACTTCAATCAGAGGTCATAGAGCTCTTGCTTCTGTGTATCTGGATGAAGGAGACAGCCCAGCGCCATGGGTCGTGTGCTGCTTTCCACGTCCTCCACCTGTGCATTTTGTACTTGCTGCTTCTCTGTTGTGCCAGAATACTGTAACATTATCTCTTTAGTTAACAGAACCAGAATTTGTTAGCCATTCACATTCCTTAGTCTGTGGTACAAATAGCAATAGTTTTGAACGTCAGGTGAATTTATACTACATAATTGATATGTTTGCCTTGGTAACCTTTGGTTCTATTGCAGGAGTAACTTTCTCCCACAGAGGCTTCACTGAAGTGCATGCGGTTATGTTTGTGATCATTAATGTGGGGAAGCCATGACTGCATGTTTGTCTAGCCTTTCTCTGGGAACCCTCAACAGCTACCCTTTTCTGGAGCCAGCGCGTTGTGCCTCTGTGAATGTGAGTGTGGAGAGTCACACACATCCTATCTGGAGAGGATTCGAATCTCTCCTTTCTTAAAAAAATACGTTGGTAACTGCTGTTGACAGCCTGTCTGTAGTATTTACCAATATTGTGCTAAGTGTGTGTGTGTGCCTGCCTTTTTTGAGACAGGATCTTGCCATGCAGTTCAGGCTGGCCTGGAGCTCACATTGTAACCCAGGCTTGTCTCGAACTCACCGTGATCCTCCCGCCTCTGCCTCCTGAGTGCTGGGACCGCAGGCACACAGGCAGGCAGGCAGGCAGGCAGGCAGGCAGGCGAGCACCACCACACCTGGCTTTATTGTGCTGACTTTTAAATTCTATCTTTTCCTGCCTCATCCTCCAGAAGGAATCTTACTTTTCTCATTAGGGGGATAAAGTTTTAACCATGTACCTCCAATTGTCGGGCTCGTTTTAAAAACGTGGCCGTCTTCGCATTCTCATGCTTAGCGTTATTAGTAGAGTTGCCTGATACCATCAGATGTTAGTTCGCAGACGCCATCTCTGGTCTTCAAGTGACTTTCTAGTCGCGCTGTTCTAGTCAGGATCTGAGTAAAGTCTGTGTGTGTACAGTTGTGGTTTGGATGTGAGGTCTTTCCCATCCTTCACAGCCCATTTGCTTTTTTATATCATTGGTTTGTGCAAGCCTGAGGTCCGTTGTCCTGTGCCGTCCCACATTTCAAACTTGGTGGTCTAATCCCTTTTTAATTTCTTGTTTCTCCATTGTCAGAATATCTTGTACATTAGCAAATTCAGAGGCTTGATAAAAATTTAGTAGTGGTGTTTATTTTAAAGTCCAGGATGCTTCATAGGAGGTTTATAATCCAGACATAAACTACTTGATTGTTCGCGTGATGATGAAATGCATTGGGGCTGAGGTCTGAGCTCTGTTTAAAAGTGTTCCATCAGCCTTTACTCTAATGCTCTTAGTGTCCATTGATAATTGTTGCCTCTTCTATTATTTATAATTATGTCTTCTGAATTTATTCTCTGGAATTACCTACTAGAATTTCTTTAATTATTTAGTGTGCCTGAATGGTTCTTAGAAGACGGTCAAGGTAAAACTTTGATGTCTTCCTTTTTTGTTAAGCTTTTAACCTTTGAGACATTGAGGGCTCTCCTCCCCTCCCCTTTCCTCTTTCTACCTTTCTTTTATATCATTTAAGATTACTGGATCCATTACAGTAATTCTTTTGAATAAAAGTTGATTTTCACATCCACATAAAAATATATCCCAGGCTAATCCCACGCCCTGTGTATTTCTTGTCACAGGCCCGTAGTGGCCTTATCCATGAGGCATCCTTACTCCTTTTGGTGGGAGAAAGATACTTAGCTGCACAATCTGGGAGTGTGCAGGGGAAATGTCTTTCTGTTAGAGTTTGAAAACGCACATTCATACAGACACGAACACTTATGTTGAGTTATGTGAATGCATGAGTTTGTATTGATGTTTCCTATTTAAATTTATAGAGCTTTTACTTTTCTAATTTTTATTATAGTACTATTTATTTTAAAATTTTTTGTTTCTTCAGGTAATTAACATTATTTCCTGCTTGTATTATCCTTTAGTATATCTAGAGCATTTCAAAATAGCATTCAACATAAGTTTCTTTATGGTTCTTTCAGTTTCTAGATTACAGTGTTACTAGGCATGTGTAATACACTTTCTGTGTCAAGTCATTCAAATACTGTGCAATCAGTGTTTGTAACAGCAATAGAAATTTAAAAGCAAAAATGTTACCCAGAATTCTACTTTTTTTCCCCCGTGTAGTTCTACTTGTATCTATATCTGTATCTGTATCTGTATCTGTATCTGTATCTGTATCTGTATCTGTATCTGTATCTGTATCTGTATCTATATCTATATCTATCTTGGTTTCATTTATTTCTGTTTGCTTTCAGCTTTTGGGCTTTTCCCCCTTGCCCTGTACCATGTTGAGGACTGAACTCCGGGCCTTGACATTGAGCTGCATTCAGCACTTGCGCTTTTGAAGGAGGGTATCATTAAGTTACCTGAGCTGGGCTGGAATTTGCTAGTCTCCTATTTCACCTCCCAGAGAGCTGGGATGACAGGCATGTGCCAGCATGCCTGACTGGATTCCTTAGAGTTATGTTATGTTATTTTGTACCAGGGATCGAACTCACGACCTTGCACTTGGCAGGTAGGTGCTGTGCCACTAAGCTATATCCCCAGCTCCTTAGTTTTAAATAGGGGCACAAAGTTAGCGTTTTAATTGCAGTGTTCCCTTACTGCACTGCACATTCAAAAGGATCTTGTCGTTTCCGCTCGCCCCCTCTTTTTCCTTCTTCTATAAATAACCATTTTTATTAGCTTTTAATTTATTCTTTCTGGTTTTGGTTTTTGAAAATATAAGTAAATCTTCTATGGATCTAAATACATCACTTATTCTTAAATACTTTATCTAGTTCCTTTCTTGCATTATTCTTTTCTTCCTTTACTTTTCTTTCTTTCTCATTCCCTGTACCCTTCGATTTTCACTCTTATGCTGGTCTGGAACCTTAAGATCGTGAACATGTTAGACAGCTTCTTCCATTAAACTGCACCTCAGCCTGTGATAGCCCTTTTAACTGAATACATGTGAGTGTCGCCCACAGAACTAATCGGAGATTCCTTGTTCCTTTCTTACAGTTTCATAGTGTTCTGACAGTTCTCATTGATTGGTGTTTAGGTGTCGCATTAGCCAACTCTGGAGTTAGTGTCTCTTAATGGGAAGGAGAAAGGAAAACGATAATTAGATAAAAGATATGATAACTAGATAAAAAGATCTCTTCTCAAATCCTTAGAGAGAGGAGAAAACTGATGTTGAGTTAGGTGCAGCGAAATGCCAGCCGGAGATTGAGCCGTAGTTCAGGCTTGGTTGTGGTTGTTGTCTGCAGCTGTGTCCGGAGTGTGAGGCCTGATACTTCAACGTTTCATTGGTTATTGGACTTCATGTTGGTGACTTGTAATACCCTAAAGTCTTTTGGTTTTAATTTTTTGTTTTTGTTTTGGGAGCACTTAAAAATTTGATGGAAAATCTTTTGTGTTTTTAAAAAATATTTTGAGTTGTATTTTAAGATGAATGACATAAAATACTATATAACCAGTATTATAATAGCATGAGGGGTTTTAAAAGAAGTATAATTATATAACCAGTATAATAATAATAATAATAATGAGAATTTAAAAAGAAAAACCTAACATCCTATGTCTTAACTCAATTCATAACTATATGGGTTTTAAAACTTGTTTTTATACAGCCCAAGTTTATTAAATATGTTTTCCTTCAGTTTTAACCTGAAACTGATGCCTAGAGCATCCTTTTAATATTAAAACATCTGATTTGCAGAATTACTATTTCTGTGCCTTCAGATACTTTTTAGTGTACATGAATCATACATTGCCCTGTTTTTAAATTATATAGTGGAACTTTGGCTCATGAACTGAATTACTTGTTTCTGGTCCAGTTCCATTTGTGGCCAAAATCTTGGGAAAAATAAATTCTCAAACCAAGGCAACACCACACATGCCGCAGTGCTTCCTGCTGAAATGTTTTGCCCCAGATATAACAAAAGCCATTGTTTCTTCCTTCCAGTTCGGGAATACTTGCTACTGCAATTCAGTTCTTCAAGCACTTTATTTTTGTCGTCCATTTCGGGAAAAAGTCCTGGCATACAAGAGTCAGCCTAGGAAGAAGGAGAACCTGCTCACGTGCTTAGCAGACCTCTTCCACAGCATCGCCACGCAGAAGAAGAAGGTCGGGGTGATCCCTCCCAAGAAGTTCATCACCAGATTGCGGAAGGAAAACGGTAATTCTTCCGCTTCCCTAGGCACGGGGACAGTCATCGACAGGTGAAATACAGCATGCCACAGCTCAAACCTTTATTGAGTTTAATCTGTGTAGGTGAGAGTGTGTTAGCGATGGAGGAAGCAAAAGTGACATTCCTTTCCTCGAGGAGGTGTACTAGTTTAGAGGTGGAGACTGTTTTACAATTAATAATGGAAGATATAATTAGTGTTTGATGTGGTACACAAAGGTAAAATTTTTATGTAGGAAAGAAGAAATTATCTCTTTTTTGCCTGCTGGGCTTTTCTATCTCAAAAATAGTTTTTTTCCCCCCATAGGATTGTGGTGCTTTTTGCATAATGCTTTTATATGTTAACTCATTGGATCCTCTCAGTCAGCTTTTATAAAGCTTGTTAATTTCACTGCTTAAGTGTGGAGTGAAGGGACAACCAACACAGAAGTTAAAACGTGCCCCAGATCATACCCAGGGAGTGAAAAGAGACAGGATAGGTCCTGAGATCTTTTGGTGTATGATAGATATGTTTTAGTTCTCCTCCCTTTTAAAAATACAGTTTCTGAGCAAACCCCACAATTTCTTAGAGTAATTTTTCAGTGAGACTCATTCCAGACGAGTATTTATTTCAAGTCATCATTTCATAAGTTTTATTTCCTTTTTCTCAACTTCAGAATAATTGAAAATCATTTTTGTCATTTGATGTTGCTGACATTTGTAAATATCTTTTGAACTATATTCTTAGATTTGGGGTTTTGGAATTTCAAAGGATTATAAAGATGTGCATTCAAATCAAACATTTAATATAGTGTCTGTTGCCTAGCTCTCCTCTTCCTTCCTTCCGATATTTGCTTTGTTTTAAATCTATAAAATGTGTTACCATTTCAATATTTCCATTAGTTTTTTCCTGAGTCAGTTGCCTTCCATACTGTGTTTAAACTTTGTTTTGTTCTCAAAAGATATCAGTGCTATATTGCTTTAACTACTATTGCTGTACATTAATGATCACTTTGATATCTTTTGGAAAGAGCTGATTTTAACTTCTCTTCATTAATCAGTTTTAATTTTTAAACTCACATTACCCAGTCCTAGTATAAGAGGACTACTGCACTGTGTTCCTGCAAATAGTGGAACAGTCCTAGCTCCACGGTTACGATACCCTTGAGGATGGGCTGGTACCAGCTGATTGTGCTAATTACTATAGTCTGATATAGCGGTGTGTGTTAGGCACAGCCTAGGCCCTCCAGGGACCTGATAGTGTAAGGAGAAACGCACAGTCCTCAGTTATGTATTACACTGTGTCATTGCTTGGAAGAAAAAGGAAGCATAGGGATGGTAAGGAGGAGGGTGTGACCAGGGTTGAGGGGTCAGTTAGGGAAACCCTCCGTAAACAGTAGAAATTTAAAGTGAAAGATACGGTATTGAAGATCTGAAGTTAAACTGTTATAAGCAGAAGGAACAGAAAGTTCAGTTGCTCTTAGTGCTTGAAGGATGGCTGGAAAGTTAGCATAGTGAGATTGGAATAAGAGAAGAAATTAAAGAGAAGGGTAGGGTCCCACAGCGTGGGTTACAGTTTGAAAACCAAGGGGAGCTCTTGGCTCTGAGTGGGCAGGTCATGGTGTGTCCTGATTTACATTGGGAGAATCCCTTCGGAGGAATCAGAGGAATCAGGGAGCAGAGGTGGGGAGGCCAGCCAGAGGCTTTGCCAGTGAGAATCGGAGTCCTCTGTGTAGGTGACTTCCTGTAGGCTCATTCGTACAATTTTGGAAAAAATGAAACATTGGTGGTCTTGTTGTGTCAACCAGAACTGTCAGCTGAACATTTTAGGGTCATTTAAAGTGGGCTTGAGGTCACATCTATTGGCATCTGTACTGAGAAATAAATATAGATTGTTTTGGGCCAGATTTACCATTTTTCATAGCATTTTAGCTGCTTCAGCCCTTTGTTGTTCATTCATTCATTCATTCGCTCAGAAAATGCCTAGCACAGCTGGTACATGGCAAGCAGTACTGTAAGTGCCCGGGCCAGCAGTGAGTGGGGGGAAAGCCGAGTCCTTAAGGACCCTGCCCTGTGGCGCAGCGCCCAGTCCTGGGCAGATACAGCATCGGGTGTGTGCCTCGTGTTCTCAGGTGGTTCGTAGTAGATTTGAGCGCGTAAGTTCTTATATTTATTTCAGTCAGCTTTTCCCCCTCAGACAAGGGGATTTTATGTACATAAAAAGGTATTTTATGTAATGAAAGGTATGGTGTAGCTATTTTTAAAGAAAACATAGTTTATTTTTAAGATGACTTAATACTCATTTTTTACATTGATGTTGCAGCTATATCAGGACTATAATTTATAATATACATTTATTTAATAATGAAATTGTCTGTCTCTCCTATTAGACTGTCAGTTCCATGATGGAGGGAACCCATTTGTTTTTGCTCACCATTGTATTCCCAGCACATAATCCAGTTCCTGGCACATAGTAGGTGCTTACTAAATATTATTGAATGAACGAATGAATGAATGAATGAATTTGTTTAATTTACCAAGTCAGTTTTTGCATTATACTGTTTAGTAGATTAGAAAGCCAACCATGAAAAAAGCCAGTATTTAAATTAGGCCAAGTGTGGTGGTGCACACATGTAATTCTGGCACTGAGGAAGCCAAGACAGGAGTATTGCATAAGTTCAAGGCCTACCTAGGTTACATAGTGAGTTCAAGGCCACCTGAACTACACAGTCTCAAAAAAGAAAAGGAAAAAAAGTATGATGTAGTTTGGAGGGATTACACTGAGGACTTCTATTACATTTTGATATTTATATTTTTATGATTGATATTTTAAAAAACTAATGCCTGTGTTCAGGTATTGTGAGATTCCAGCATGTTCTTTCCAGAGATTGAAGTCACTTGAGGTATTTCTGTGAATAAGAAGTCATTGTTTTCTGGTAAAAAGAATGCCTAGAAAAAAAAGTTAAAAAAAAAATCTTTGCACATTTTTCTTGCTTTGGCAAAAACAAACAACAAAAAAACTCATCTGTTTTAAAAAATTGCTAAATAGAAATAAGTGCTCATAATGCTGAAATATTTTTGTTTTCTTCTTTCAAATCCATTTTATTTCAAAAAGGAAAAAAAAACACGAGAACGCACTTCTAAGACCCATCAATCAGGGAACAACGATGGTGTGTACATTGCACACTGTTGTCCCCAGGTCACTCACCCAGAGCACAGGACATCTGCATTGAACTGTCCGGGCAGTATCTGCACAAATCTCTCTTCAGTGAACTCGGAGAAATCAGCAGTAGGACTGCCTTACCTATTTTTTATATACATACATATGTCCATATACATACGTTGTTTCTTTCAGCTTCTTACACTAGGGAGACAGTATGATATTTACACGTGTGTCTTGTTTATTTCACTAAAGAGTGTGGTCTTAAGTTTCATCCACTTACCCATAAAAGTCTCCAGTTTAGCCTTCTTTATAGCTGAATAGTACTCCATTGTATAAAAATACCACATCTTTTTTCCTCAGTTGATAAGCATTTAGGTTATTTCCAAGATCTGGCTATTACAAACTATGCTGCTATAAACATGGGTGCACATATATCACTGTGCTATGATGTTTTTAATTCTTTTGGGAATATACCCTTGGGGAATCCTGGCTTTAGTGGGACCTCCCTCTAGACCTAGTGTTTTGAGGAACCTCCACACTGATTTCCACAGTGGTTGCACCAATCTGCATTCCCACCAACAGTGGAGAAGCCTTCCTTTTTCCCCACAGCCCCTCCAGCATTTGTTATTGGTTGATTTCTTGATAGTAGCCATTCCTTCTGGGGTGAGGTAGAATCTCAGTGTTTTTTTAATAGGCATCTCTCCTGTGACGAGTGATGTTGAACATTTTTTCACGTATTTATTTGCTATTTGTGTATGCCCTCATCTGAGATGTGTGTATTTATCTCAGATGCCCATTTTTGGATTGGGTTTTTAAATCTGGGAGGACTGATTTTTTTTGTGTGTTCTCTATGTGTTCTGGGCAATAATCTTTTGTCTGAGGAACAGCTGGCAAACATTTTGTCCCACTTTGTGGGTTGTCTCCTCACTCTGTTGGTGGTTTCTCTTGCTGTGCAAAAGCTTTTCAATAGAGTGAGATCCCAGATGTTGATTCTTTGTGACAGTTCTTGAACAGTAGTGGTTTTGTTTGTAAAGTCTTTGCCTACACCAGTGTCCTTAAAGAGTTTTACCTACTGTATGTTCCAGCAGACTTAATGTTTCTGTTTTAATATTAAGATCTTTGATTTGGATTTAGCTTAGTACATGTTGAACGATACGGATCCAGTTTTAGTCTTTGGCATGTGTAGAGCCATTTTTTCCAGCACCATTTATTAAAGAGGCTATCTTTCTCCTATTGAAGGTGTTTGGCACCTTTGTCAGAGGTTAGTTGGCTTTTTTAGTGTGTGTGGAGTTCTGCATCTTCTCATTGGTTCCATTGACCTTTGAGTCTGTTCTTTTTTTTGCCAGTACCACACTTTTTATCACAGTAGCTTTATTTACAGTATAATTTCAAATTAGTATTGTGATGTCCCCTGTCTTGTTTTTGTTGCCCAGGACTGCCCTTGGTATTCTAGGTCTCTTCTGGTTCCTGATGAATTTGAGGATTGTTTTCTCTATTTCTCTGAGGTGTGATATTGGAATTTTGATTGGGATTGCTTTGAATCTGTGTAACAGTTTTGGAAGTATGGCCATTTTCACTATATTGGTTCTTGCTACTCAAGAGCATGAAATATCTCTCCATTTTCTAATATCCTCTTTAATCTTCTTTTTCAGAGTACTATAGTTTTCAATGTAGAGGACCTTTATATTATCTATTAGATTGATTCCTAGGTATTTCATTGTTTTGGATGCTATTGTGAAAGGTATTTTTCCCTGATTTCTCTCAGTGAGTTTGTTATTCATGCACAGTAACGCTATTGATTTTTCAGTTGCCTTTATAACAGCTATGCCATGGAATTAACTTATTAAAT